AGGAATCAACACATCGCAAATCGCACCCTGCTCTACACTCCTTCAACGGATTTCTGGAATTTTGATTGAAACTGGAATATCAATGCAGGAATCATAAAGTGATAGAAAGAGTCTTGTCTAGAGGTCTACGTGCATATTATCCTCCATAACAGTTCTAGGACAACAAGATCCACTCAGAGCTCCGATCGCTACAATCCGCGTAGATAGAACCTTTCTGTTCGCCTGTTGGCCATCACATAGCCATCTTTCGCTTCATGCCGGCATAGGGTAATAGTTTACTTAAGGAGGCATCGTTAAACGTTGTGCCTAACACAACCAACATTCTCCCCCCCCCCCACCAATCTGCTCCTTATCTTTATCTTCACGAGGACAAGGGCAGCGGATATGTTAGCAAGTTTCATACTCTTCAGAGATCAACTCCTATTCCTAAGCTTTAACCTCAAAGCGATGCCTCCTAAGTACACCAACGTCCGGTGTTGTTCTACGATAATGTTTCCCTTATCACTGGGTCTCCTATGCAAAGGTGCCCACCTACAGATACCACCCTACCACCTTTGTGGAGTAGCTGCGAATTCACCAAGATGGGCGCAATCGCAAAACGTGGACGGAGGGGGAGTATTGTTGCAGCGGCAAAGCCTTTGAAACCGCGTCATTTTTTCCCTGTTATTGTTGTTGTTTAGGACTACCATAAAGAGTATGATCTCAGAGTACTAAGACAACTTTCGGCGGTGGTGTCGGCGGATGGGGCATCACTAGCCAGAAAGCCCAGACAGCCAGCGCCTCCTACCCTGTTCACCCCCTCAGACTAAGCCTTAGGGGGAGACTAGGAGAGGGATGTTTAGTTGAGTTCCATTCACCCCCTCCTAAACTCAATTCACACAATGGTGTCCCACCCTACGACTCAAGCGCCCAATTTTCATTTCTCCCAAAATTCCTGGCTCTCTCACCCTACTAGGCTTGTATGTGTGCACCCCCCCCCCTCCCAAAGTGCGCGAGAATTTACCCTATGCAGCGGAATGAAATCAAAACCATGAATCATGAGGGGATCGTCATGCCTGAGACCGAATTTTTTTCTGTTCGTGATCCTGTTTGTAATGATTTTCCCTACCACTTTATCACACATGGCCCTCGAGGGCAAGACACGCAGAAAAAAGCTTTCTCACAAACGTACGGACAAACCAGCAAAATGATGTGGTTCATATGATAAAGTGACGGCGCTATTGCAAGATACAGGGGCATCCTTCGGGACTGAGCCTTCGGAAGGACAGAAACTTCGGAAAGTCAAAATTTCTGACGCTCCCTCTAGTCTCTCCTTCCTTGCCTGAAGCTCAGATCCGTTTCACCAAAAAGGAGATTTTTATACGTCTGAAATGCACTGCTACCATAATGCCCGCTATCTTGCCATAGCGTCAAAGTGACTACCTTCCATAAGGTCATTTGCGATCGACGAATGGAAAATAGGCTCTGCACACGTTGAAAATATCCGATTTATTGTTGCGTTATCACAGATTGGGAAAGATAATTATCAACCTTATGGTAAGTCTAGTTCATTATTCCAGAGGTCGTCTTCGAAATGTCCGAAAATGCTGCTCCTGCCGAGTTCGAAGGTGTCGACAAGGCACTGAAGGGTTCCTTAAAAGGCAGGGATTATGACGAAACTCGTCGGATTCTTTACGGAAGAGCATATCCGTGAGTGTTGAAATTCTCATTTTTATTAGGAGTTGACAAAGTGGAATTATTTAGAGAGCTGAATATTCCCGAAGCAAAGCAGCGCGCAACTGATGGAAACTTCGAGTTGCAGGGGTACCAGGTCGCAGCTGAGCTCGAACAGCTTCGGCCTCCTCGACTAGTACGTCATTTTTCTAAACCCTGTTAATACATAAATGATCGCAAAGCCTTGTCTTAGAAGCCGCTATCAGAATCATAGAAATAGGGAAATGCGGCGTCATTGTCTTGGAGGGACACTGGAGGATTGCGCCACTCATAGGACTTTGCGAACTAACCATAAGCCTTAGTGTGGCGAGAGGATTCTAAAAGAGAATGTGAGCAACCATCGTTCTCCCTGGTGCATAAATCCCAACCTTGGGCTGGACATGAGCGCCGGAACTGCTTCGAAAACAGCGATTACATAGGTTCTGGAGGGATTTAGAGAGGACGAGAGGGCACTCGATGGTGCGCCAGTGACGAAAAAAGCAGGTAATCCGAATATAAGAGAGAATTGAGAAGAAAATCATAGGATATGCAAAAGACTCAAGAAGAGAATCAAGAATGAATATGCAAAATAGTACACCGCTGGGCGCTCATGTCCTTGGGGGGGGGGAGAGGGCTTCAGATTAGCACATTTAGAAAGCCTCCGGTAGGTGACCCTAGGACCAAGCCCAAGAGAGGGGAGGAACGCCAGGGAGAACAAATTGCTGACGTGCTCTTCCATATTCCTTTCTCCTTCTCTAGAGCTTACCATTAGTCGTAGGCACTGTAAGTGCTCACCCACTTGAATGTCCCTCCCAACGACATGAGCGCCGTCCCCCCCCCCTTGTTAGCCCGTTCAGTTTTCGACCATGGATGAGCGACGGTAAAGAACGAGGTTGTTCGGACGTGTTAACCCCGATAGCCATCATGCCAACAAGCATAGTGTTTTGATTGATAAGGCATTACATGGGCAAGTTGGAAGATACAGCCGCTAAAGGGAAATGATCTTCCAAAATGAAAAGCCAACAGCAAACAGCTCGCCCAAATCACCAAAGCTAAACTAATAAGTGCATCACTTTAGAAACGGAGCTCTTTTGAAGTCCTTCAAAGCAACCAGCGCACCTGCCGCTGTGTAAAAGCGCTACCTCGCTTCCTTGACGGCCAAGATACTGCTTCGAGTTGCGCATATCCTCCTTCGGAGCGCACAAGCTTCATCGTAATCACTTCCTCTGAAAAAAGGAGTCACAAAGAAGCGGTTGCAGCAATAGGTATCTTCACACAGCATCACATTACATTGAGCATAACTTAAGTGGCTTTTTTCAAGGTAGAAAGGGGACACAGTTGAGCCTAATCAATTAACTTCCTCTTCATTCTTATTCGGGTTTATGACCTAAATCAATGGAGTTCATTACCCTTTAGACTTAACGATTGCCGACTAGGGAGGAAAAAGTACGATTACGGTGACCCTACAATGGCGACATGAGTGGAACCCAAGGTCTTTGCACCACTGCGAAAATGAGTTCTAACACTTGATTGCTGAGTGTGGGCAAAATTTCCGCCTCAGCCGGATCTCTTGCTTTCGGGCAATTGTGCTACCAGTTACACCACAGGGGCACTATTTCACACCAACTCAGCTTTTGATGGTAAAGTTACCATAGCTGATCAAGCATTCGCACGTATAACGTGATGAACCGGTTAGCTGATGTTCGACATTTTTTACTAACCATCTCTTTTGACTTAGCGAAACCGTGCTGCCCACAACTCACATATCAGGAAGCTTTTCGGATCGCGACTGCGGCCCGTAAACAGCGTTATCTAACAGAACAATCAAAAAGTAAGAACGTCAGCCTCTGCGCCTCACTCGCCGATGATTCGGGACCGTTACTCAACTATACCATATTAATGTGAAACTATGGTAACCGTTAACATCAAAGGCCGATGTGGTGACGGATGCCACCGGTGTTGTAGCGAACAACGCCCCAACGATCTTAAGTGCGATCTCGTGTTGGGCGAGAGTTGCCAACTCAGCAATCTGGATACTTCGTTCAATGCCGGACTGCGGCATAAAAATCCAATAAAACAAGTACTAACACCGCCGGCCGGCACCGTGATCGAAGCGTCATTAGTTTGGCGATTACGATAGCATTAGTCCAAGACGAAAATACTACTTATAATCACGCAGTAGCGATTAGCGTGAAGACCACTACGTATCGACTTGTATGTTCCGCCCTGAGGGCGTTGGCGAGCGAGTAGGCGAGTAGGCGAGTAGGCGAGTAGGCGATAGGCGATTAGGCGATTAGGCGATTTGCACACGGCGCACTCCTTAGTCGTCAAAATTGAGGCGCACATGCATATTAGCTTCTCACCCATACACTAGACTACTAGTTGGTAAAAGCAGATCTTGTCAAAGTGTTGCATACAATCCAGATATCACCTAATCGCCTACTCGCCTAATCTCGCCTGATCCTACTCGCGTACTCGCCTAATCGATACGTATCCTTTACTCATCGCCTGATCGCCTACTCGCCTAATCGCCTAATCGATCCGCATACTTTTCATTTTGAATCATCGCCTACTCGCCTAATCGCACTACGATCGCCAAGTGAACGTTCCATTCGTTTGGCTATAGTAGCCCGCATCGTGATCTCTGGCTCACCTGTTCAATTCGCCGAATAACCAAGAGCTCATAAACCCCAGGCATTTCTCATCGCCACCATTTCCATAGAGTCTCAAACATTGACGTTTAATGTTACAACAGTAATTAATAAGCCGTTCTTATGTATGTGATTTGGATAAGCATGCACAGGCCGTTTTCACATTCCTTCGAATCAAAGTTTCACCGCATTGTTCCTTTTGTGTCCCATTGCTTAATAGAAGCAAAGCAGCTGCTCACATACACTTGACAATCACAAGATTGAGTAAATTCTGGGAGGATAGATAACCGCGTATGGTAAGTCCACAAAAACGGGGGAAAATGAAAGCCAGAGAAGGTCATTGATGCCAACTAAGTGAGATAGCGCTGATGAATAGAAGGATGCTGTAAGAAGCTACTGCTCCAAAGTTGTACTGATCGTCCATTGAAAAAATCGATGCGTTGCTTCTTACCCCCACAATGTCAACTGTTTGGAGCCTAGCGTAACAGGCTATTGTTAAAAAATGTTTGCTACTTGTATCTGAATTTACGAAAAACCTCGAAACACTACACTGCTTGTCGCGTCCATCCCAACTCATTGTACCTACCCATTGAATGGCAACATTTTTTTGCAGAAAATCTCCATAGTTACTGGGACGGTGAGTGGGCGTAAACAAGTGGAGCTGCACACCGTTGTCTGCCTCATCAATTTTTCACAGTCTCCAGCTTCTCTGTTATGCAACCCATACACCCATTTTATTAATATCCTTGGTTTTTTGCGGAGTTTCGGACTGGAACTGTTTTTTACCGGTTTAACGTTTCCACGTGGGCTTTTTCAGAAACGAGGGTTCCGCAGCAGGGTGAAAAAATCGGAAGATAGACACACATGGATGTCAAGCAGTAACGAAGCTGATCTACTGATTGCTGCTTTCGTTACTGATTGATGTTCGTGCGTGACAAGATGTAATTCTACATCCTACGCTGGAAACCAGCCCTCTGAAGAACACGACCACGTCGAAACGGTAGCTGCTGAACGAAAAGTTTTTCACATCCGATCCTTGAAAGGAAGAAAGGAACAGGAAAAAACACAACTTTTGATTTTAGTTAGCCTTGCATCCTTGAAATACTGCGTTTAAATATGGGTCGTGGGTTAGAAATAAATGTTGAGGCGATGGAGGGGAGGTGGTGGTGGTGGGCGGGGTGGGAGGATAAAGTTTGAAGTTCTATCCCTTAGTCTCCGGGTAAATGACGGAAGACCTGCTGTGCACCGAGAAAGCGGAGTCACAAACGGGTCAGCGGATAAGTTGCCTTGCGTGCTGTGTACGTGGTAGTACGCGCTACGACTCCTCCGCTGACCCGTCTGCGTCTCCTCGTTTTCGCCGCATGACGGACCTCCTGTCAGGGGAGACGGTCAATTCAATCGTCGGCTAATGAGGTCACGCCGCTCACGCGGCGGGCAGCGTCGCGCGCGGCAGTTGGTGCGGCGATTTTGTGTGGGCCTTGGCTTAACGGTCCTGTCCATAAGTTGCTGGTGGGGTTAGAGAACTGATAAGACCAAAGTTCCAGACATCAGTGAGCCAACAAGCGTCACCTTAAGATCTCCGCAGTTATTTAAGCCTCACTGTACAGAGCTTGTAAAGGTTGTCCTTTTGAACATAATGAGACTTCTTTATTAATCAACTGCCTGAATTGTTATCAAAGAGCGATAATCTGGCTCAATCGGAAAATATACGTTCCAAGACGCAGTGGAACGGTGAGGAAGGCACAAGCATTAGTATGACGGAATAAGTTTGTCGATAAAAATAAGATAAATGGCATGGGGCCAAGGAACCTGTACTTTAAGGGGCAGGTGATCATATACCGTGTTTCACGACTGGAAACTTCATCTAATCGTACATTCCCCATGCTAGAACCATGAATTCTAACTACGGCCGACGTCGCATCGCGGGCTGCGGCGGCCTAGCCACTGCCACGATTGAATCGTCACGCACCCCCTGTCGGTAGCCGGAGGCTAATGGATGGAAGTTTAGACTTTGCGAGACTTTCATAGATTAAGGCCCATGCAGAGTCATTCACCAACATGGTGCTGTCGCTACCGTCTGATAGTCTTGTATGGGAACTTTTGTGAGTCAACATATCGCTTAAATTCTAGGTATACTAGAAAAGTGTGGCGCGCTAGGCTCAGATTATCAAAGCTAGTATTTACCATAGCATGAACCTCTTTTTCCGCGAGGAACCCGCACAGCATTATAATTAGCACATTCCCCTCTTATTTAGCAGCAAGGGAGGATATCCAGATCGTAATCCCCCGGTTGAGGCCGCTTTACTCAGGCGGAACGTGACTAATACTTTCCCTGGCTTCCTCTGCTGATCTCAGTTACTAGTCCTCTGCAGTTCAAATATTTAACACTGTGACGATACCATCTCCGTCCACGGTGCAAGATCAAAAGCCAAACATGAGAAGCGCGACCTTTTACACGAACCATTTATAATACTTGATATGTTGCTTTACGGCTCGTTAGTTTGCTGTGTCCGCCTAAAAATGTCTTTCTGTGTAAAAGGGAGCGGAGCTGACACACACGAAAACGACAACTAACAGGAATTAGGTATGGAGAGTGCACCATATAACTGGTCGGTGTCACAACTAGTTATATTGGTAAAAGAGATTGATAACAAGTGGCAGAGGTTACAAAGAATTCTAGAACAATTGGTGTGGGAATAATAGATGGCACCAATGTTAGGGAAAGAAATTTAACACCGAACTTAATTGAACAATATCCTCAAAGGGGCGGAAGTGGTGTAGTGACAAGTGGCGCGCTTACCACGCGAGCGGTCCGGGATCAAATCCTGGGTCGTGAGTCGCCCGGGCCAACCAAGCCTTCCATCCCTCCGGGGTCGGTTAATTGGTACCAGACTTGTCTGGGAGGATAAAAACACTGACTTGTACATCGGCTGGCCCCCGCAAGTCATTGTATAGGCCACATCGCATTCAAACGCCACTACGAATGTACAAATGGAAGTAGAATGCGTGCCGCATCCCAAAAAGGGATTGATCAACGGCAAATGCTTTATCCTTTATCCTTTATCCCTCAACCTTGACTCATTCCCTTACTCCACATCATCTCTGACCTTCCGTCTCCCTCCCTTCCACATTCCCCTTCTCCTTCACTCTATTCACACACCAATTTGTAACTAAGGTCTTGAACAGGAAACAAACGGACGATCTTTCACTGATCAAAAGCCTGGTTATACGTGCCGTTCGGCATGTTGGTCCTATGTGTGCCTGTTCGCTAAATGGTGGGGGGGGGAGAGAGGGGGGGGGGGCTGATGGAATCAGCTAACTGTCAACGAAATCGGCAGTCATAGCGTTATGGGATCAGTGTTTAGTGATTTTATCATCGTGAGAATACCTCCTTTACTATACAGGACATCCATTTTGAGCGTTATGCAGTGTGCAGCGCAGGAAGGGGAATCCCAGCGGCCAACAGGCCAAAATATACTGGTTATTCGGCGTAGGATTCCACGATCGTAGGTAGAGAAAGGGGAAATGCACATGTTATAAAGGCGACGGGGTTCAAAGGGTGATGGGCGATGCGCGTTCCGCAGCGAAAAGTATGCCTTTAGCGGTCTAGCGGAAACGCTAGCCGCTTTTACTTTGACTTCTGTTAGGACCTTTATGCGCCAACTCCACCTTTGCTTGACTGTAAGGAACCGATTCTCTTATTTCAAAGCGCTCTCCTGCGAAGGGTTCATCAGTCTGCCCGCGACATTTGTTGTCGGTTGATGATGGCTCCCAGAAGAGAGCTTTGGGCAAATAGAAATGGTTGCTTAACCGCGAAGGGCTGCAGTGTTTGCAAGGCGAACGTGGCAAGAACTGAAGTGGCTTTAAAAGCTGGCTTAATTATCTTTTTTTCAAAACTCCAATTTTACAGGTTCGAGTTGCTGTAATCCAAAATGCAATAGCGTTGCCGACAACAGCGCCAGTAGAAGAGCAGAAGAAGGCGCTGCATCACAAAATCGGCGTGATGATCGAGGCGGCAGCTATGGGTGGCGCCAACATTGTGTGTTTGCAAGAGACGTGGAGTAAGTGGACAAATCGTTGATTGACAGTTGAGCCTTTCAGGGACCATAGAATGTTTCAGTGATGCCGTTTGCCTTCTGCACCAGAGAGCGATTGCCGTGGACGGAATTTGCCGAATCCGCAGAAAATGGTCCTACGACGAAGTTCCTATCAGAGGTGCGGACAAACTTGATGGAATCTTGCATTTCAGATCTACGTAAACGTGACTCACTGTAGCCTTCAAATCTCCTATAGACTATTTCTATAGTTTTCTTTTTGCAACCCGCAGCTTGCAGTGAGCTGACCTAGTCCTGCCAGCGATTATGTTGCAGAGGTTCCCTGAATTGAATTGCAA